GCAATGGTCGCCAACAGAGGGTGGGTGACGTTGTGGTGGCAAAGCATCCAACGGTAAAAAGCTCAGCATCCATTCGCAAGCGACCAGGTAGCCACTGCGGAGAGCTCAGCATATATCCGCAAGCGACCAGGTAGCCGTTGCGAAGATGGGGGGGGTATAACCCCAGGTACCCACGGCAATGGACATGGGCCGCGCCGTCAAGGGAGGTCCAGCCCATAAGATCAAGGCCTACGGTGTCCAGTTCTGGTCGGCATGCATCGCAAGGCAATCAGAAGATATCTTGACGATAAAGGAAGACCTTTTCGGATATGATAGATATCGTATTCCTTGTAAATACTTAACATATAACCGAATAGATCTAGGCCTAAACCGACTCGTAACCCTACCCCCCAGACTATATAAGGCAGGTAGGAACCCCCCTCAAATTTAGCTCATATTCAATACAATCCAACAAAGACACAGGACGTAGGGTATTACATCGATCAGACGGCCCGAACCTGTCTAAATCGCTGTCTCTGTGCCTTGTGTCACCATCCGGTTCCTATTACGCGCACCTCCACCGATCATCTACTACCATGGGTATACCCCTCGGTAGACTGCCGACTAGATTTCGTCGACAGTGGCGCGCCAGGTAGGGGATGTGCATGCTGATTCCATGGGCAACTAGATGGTCACTTTCCCGAGCTCCATGGCATTTCTCGAGCCGAGCTAGATATTCACGGTCGGATCCATGACTTGGGTCATCGGCCCCGACGGTAGCGGGGAAATCATGGAGCCGGTGCAGGATCACCCTATGCCGATCGTGCCAACATCTACAACGACATCTTCGATCCCGATGCCTCACCGCTAGGTTAGGAGATCCATCAACAATGACGATCTGATCGAAGCTATCGATCGGGTCACGGACCGCTTAGCGGAATGTCAGCTCCTTGTGGATTCGGTCTTAGATCGATCTAGAGCGAGCGACGAACCTCCTGCACTCCAAGGTCACCATGCCACTAATGCAGAGCGCCCCGCTCGTGCACGTCATCCGAGGTGGCAAGATGAAGATTTGGTGATCACGGCAACTCCGGAAGGGCGCACCGCTCAACGCCGACCACTCCCCTTTAACGGAGAGCATGCCGCCCTATTCTTTCGGGCTGGTAGGTGCGGGTCCGATCTGTTAGGGCGCCTTGCACCATCTTTTTCGCCGTCCACGCCGAAAGCGCAGCATACTTCATGTGTAAGCCTCTAAAAAATTTCGGTCGAAATTGTGAGTTTAGGTAATTTTGGGGTGATTTTTTTTTCTAATACCGAAATTGAAAACCCTGAACAAAACACGCTCTGTTGATAAGAGTTGCGTTGATAAACTTTTTTTTTAAAAAAAACGTCGACGACAGCAGCTAATCGTCACATGGATGATTCTATTTGGCTCATCACATGCACAGGACAATCACTGCAGCAATCCTAGAGCACGCCTAACGAATGACGTGGCCAGTGACCACGGTTTGCTGGCCACGGCAGCGATCATGGTAACCGCGGTCGTCCTCTCCGAAGCAACAGCGTCGTCAACATTGTCTGTGAACCACGGGCACTGGAGCGCGGCGGCCGCCGTCAGCCGCTTCTCGGGATCACAAGTCAAGAGCCCTTTTAGGACATGGAATCCGTCCCCCGACAGGATCTCCTCCGAGACCAGCTCACGCAGCCGGTTGCGGCTGCTGCCGTGACGGTCTCGCAGCTGCCGCGCTCGCCACACCTGCACCTTGTCGTCATGTACCTGGGGCTTGAGGGCCTGCCACGCCCTCTTGCACGGCACGCCGAGCACGTCGAAGATCTTGAAGACCTGCTTGGCCTCGTCGTCCTCGTCCTTCACTGCGACTGCGAACGGTGGCTTGCCGGTGAGGATCTCCACCATGACGCAGCCGAGCGACCACACGTCCGCGAGCGTGTCGTGGTCGGCGTTCTTCACCAGCACCTCCGGCGCCATGTACTCCATGGTTCCAGCGAAGGCCTGCGGCGGGTCCTTCTCGGCCACAGACTTGGCCACCCCGTAGTTGCAGATCTTGACGGCGCCGCCGCCGTCGCCCACGAGGATGTTGTCGGGCTTGATGTCTCGGTGGACGACGCCGTGCCGGTGCATCTCCTCGGCGCCGGCCAGCAGCTGCCGCATGACGCGGCGCGCCACGGCCTCCGGGAACGGCCGTCCGCCGCGGTCTGCCATGACGGCCCTGAGGCTCGGCCCGACGTAGTCCATGACGATGGAGTAGTCCGTGGTGCCCGGCGCACGCGCGACGGTGCGGAACGCGACGAGCGACGGGTGGCCCCTGCCGGCCGCCGTGAAGCAGGCCTCGGACAGGACGTCGGCGGCGCAGCTCCCGCCGCTCCTGCGGTGGAGGGACTTGACGGCGACGGCCTGGCCCGTGGCGCGGTGGCGCGCCCTGAGGTCACCGAGCGGCGCGACCCGGGTGGCCACCGAGGTCATCTGCGTGGGGTTTGGGTTGGCCATGGAGCGAGCTGGCAACGGTCTCAGCTTGCGTGGCGGTTGACACGGCGATCGATCGAGGATGTGAGCCTGTTCGGTTGGCTGGTTCGTTTCGTGGCTGGTTTACTGTTGACTGGTTTGTGTGAGCGAAAAATACTGTTCTGGCTGAAAATTTACGATCGTTTACGACAAGCCACAGCCAAACGAACAGTGTGCTAGATGAGAAGTTTGGTGATCACCGGAGGGAGACTCAGGGGGATTTATATGGAGGAGAGGAAAGGAACCGATTGGTGACCGGACTCGGAAATCCGCACGTAGTCTAGTCTTGCTCGTTCCGTCGGACTTGCAGATATGACATTGCCTGCCGATTGACTAATCTTACGAGTCGGAAATAGAGCAGAGGTTTAGAGCTGATATTACGAAGCCGCCGTATTTCTAAGGGCTCATTCGTTTGGAAGGGAATCATTGCCTGGAATGAATCCTACCTGGATTGCTTTGCAAAATTATATAAGCATTGATCAATTGGAATAATTCCTGGTGCAATCCAGCAAAACCGAACGGATCCTAAAGGTAATTCCATCGTAAAGATTTAACGCATGTTTGTTCTAAAGAAGATTTGGACCTCATGGTATATATATAAGCATAACTAGAAAGTAGCGTCCTTTTTCTCCGCACCGCCGCGCCGCCGCCACCGTCGTCTAGTTCCCTCTCTTTTCTTTTCTCTTATATCTACAACAAGTTCTTTAGATCTAATTTAGTAATTCGTTTAGTTTTAGTCAAGATAAATTTACCAACGAAATCAGATAATTTTTGGTTGAGATCTTATTACCTAAGATGATTTCGATGATTGTGACGACGAGATCACCGTTGTAGGCATCGATTTTCATTGGCAGACGATCAAGTTGTGGTCATTATCTGCAAGGGGAGTGATGCTCCTCGACACTCTCAACGAGTACATTTACTTTAGATCATTGATCTCATCGTTAATAGTTGCCGAGGGGAAGTCAAGAATTGGAGGTGCTGAATATGCAACCAATATTGTATCTATTGGTACAACCGCCGATGCGCAGTGTCAAATATAAACAGAAAAATGTCAAAAAACAGCCATTTAAGAAAGCATATCAACTTATCATACAAAGAATCTTCTCTAAAAAGAACATCGCACTAGATTTTGCTTGATCTTAGCTTTAGCGTAAAATTCACGAGTGGTTCCTAAACTTGAACAACGGTGTCATATAGAACTCTAACCCTTAAAATTTAATATTTTAGTCCTCGAACTTATACGATGGTGTTACTCATGTCCTTAACACTTAATTTTTTATATCGAGATCCTAAACTAGTACAACGATGTTATCTAGGTCTCCAAACTTGACATCCATCCATATATGACACTGATATGGTATACTAATTGTGTGTGATGTATAAGTTTCGGGCTAGATTATACCCTTGTACAAAAATTTAGGAGCCAAACATAAAAAACCAAGAGTTGAGGACACAAGCGACACTGTTGTAAGAGAAAATTCCTTGCTTAGCATTAGAAAAATGATACAATTCCTTATTTAGCAATGAAAAATAAAAATTCTCCAATACATGACTGACTCTATTTTTGGTTCCCTAAATAGCATAGTCATTAGATCTAACCTCTATCACTGTTAACTTGGAGGGAAAAGACTGTTGTACCCTTGTTTTTCATGTATAGTACATTGTCCAAAAAATTGTGTCATAGTTCATAAATTATCTGCAAAACAAATGTTCAATGTAAAAATATTATATACTGTAAAAATATATTCAATGTAAAAAATGGCATGTTTAAAAAATATGTTAAGAAAATCACTTTAACGTAACGTTGGTGTCACACCAGAAAATAATAAGGGCAAAACAGTATTTTCTCCACCAAATTGATGGCGTTAGAGGTCACATCTAACGGTGTTGCTACTTTTTGGAGAACAAAAAAAACTAGTGTTTTATTGGGAACTTTTATGTTTCAACGCTAAATAAGGAATTTTGTTAGATGACACATCCATGTAAGTTATGATCCGATGAATTTTGCACCTAATTTATGTTTGTGGAGAGGCATCCCCTCCCCGTGCTCGTGTCCACAAAACCCTCCTCGTGTCGCGCAGACCCCGGCTTCACCTTTCCCCTGCACAGCTCCGTACAAAACCCCATCTGCGGTGAGGGTTTCTTCGCCGAGAAAGCATCTCGAGGTGATCTCTGTCTCTCCATCTTCTTGTCGCGGCTCTTCCAGTCTTCTAATCTCACACAATCCATAGGAAAGCTTGTTCCTTTTTCGTAGCGCGTGTACGGCGTCGGCGATCGTGGGCTTGCACGGTTGCAAGAGTTCCTGGATTTCTCTTTTCATCTACCTGTTCGTGCGGTGGGGTTTGGCCATTCTTTGAAATTGAGACCCTTAATTTTGTTTCCTGCTAATATGAAAGATTTCTCGAAGTTCTTAACAACGCAGCCTTCGTTATTTGCCGATGGCATTAGGATTGATCTCAATTGCAGAGGATTGCTGGGAAGAGGGAGTGGTTGAGCCATGGGCAACTCTTGCGCCAAAGGTGCTGGTACGGACTGATTTACTGCTCTCCTCAATGCGCTAGACCATTTTGTTAATCATTACTGTACCAACGTTGTTCAGCATACTTGGTACTTGCTACGGGTCACACGAGCAACAATCACTTCTTCTCGCATTTTTGAGATTTTTCTTTAAGATTTCACTAGTGGTTTTTGCTCTTGTTCTGATCTTTCTTACTATTGTCCCTGTTATTGTTTCCAGGCCGATCAAACCCATGTCTGGCCAATGCCACACCTCCTCCAGGTTCTCCAGGGGAGCAGACAACCTCCAATGCCAAGACAACGTCCAATGGCACACCTTCCCCAGGAGATCAGACAAAGTTCAATGCCACACCTTCTCCACGGGAGCAGACATCCTTCAAGTGGGTCATTGATGGTTTCTCCTCGCTTCTTGACAAGGATCAAGGATGGACATACTCCACTGTATTTGAGATCACGGACCTAAAATGATATGGTTAGATGTTGCCCTTTTTGTCTCTTTGGTTAAAATTGCATTGTTCTTACTTCTTACAGCCAGAACTATTCAATGTTTACTTGGTTCATATATATCATGCCTGAAAAACTTAATGACTTCAGAAGTCTAGCCAATAATGAAATGCCTTCTTTGTACATCTTCCCCAACATGTAAAGGGTTTTCATAGGTTTATGTAAGAACTTTTAAACTAGAAAACATGGCCAGCAAGTCATTCATCTCATGAACAGGCTCTGTTTTGGCTCATTTGCAGGTATCTAAAACTGAATCCAAAGTACAAAACGATCAATGATGAGGAGGAGTGTCTCTCTCAAGCTTCAACTGGCGCAGACACTGTCGTAGAGGCATCTTTCAAGTTCATGATATATGATCAGTCCAACGGAAAGCATAGGGAGCAGCTAGGTAAAGTAGCAAATTACTCACACTGAGAATTGATTATATCTGATGGAAATAACTGATGCATTACGCACATTGACTCAAAATCTTCCTAGTTACGTTGTCAGATATAACTTGTAAACTTTTAATGTTTTTTCCGAGAATTGATTATAGTTTTATACTCATCTGCCCAAATGGTCATTTGAAACTGCCAGCTATAACTTACGATCTTTAATGCTTGTTTGTTTTTATAAAACCTTCTATTTGGTTTCATGTCTCCATTTAGTTTTACTCTGGAAACAATGTTTTTTCATTCCGTCTTAAGCCATATCTTGTGGTGGTAATTAAGTACCTTTCTATGAAGAAAATATGTATGCTTGGAATATTTTTTATTCTGTAGTTAACCACAGCTTCCAGACTGCAAGTACGACCTCTCGCATCTCGTGCATGTTACCCCTGAAAACACTAGACGAACAGTCCTCTGGATTTCTTGTCGACAACCGCTGCGTATTTGGTATTGAGTTCATCAAAGTTGCCACCATCAAAGCCAACACGATGTTAGAAACACTTTTTTGTCAGGAAGATGAACGTCTTCAATGAGGCCAAAGTTTACACTTGGAAAATTGAGGATTTCTTTGCTCTGAAGAACAAATCCTACTCAACGGAGTTCGAAATCGGTGGATACACATGGTGATAATCTCTTCAGTTTGCAATACTTGACATGTATACATGACTGATGTTGATAACATAATCTGAACTTTCTTAAAATGCTAAGAATGGTTCTATACCACAGAAGTTTTGAAAATTTACGTAAACACAAATATAATAGTTTTACACATTATTAACTTGATTATGTGATGCTGTCAAATTTGCAGGTTCGCATTTTAGCAGAAATTTGCTTTATGGACTGGTTAGTCCGGATGCCAAATTATCATCACATATTCTTAACTTATTTTTGTTGTGAAATACAGGCAGTGTCCAGTTCTCAAGCAATTGCGGTTGGGCCGGACTACTGTAGCTATAGCGTTGAATTGGGCTGGGCTGAGTGTGCAACCAAAAGTTTAGTACCATACCGTGGATTCCGAGTTCGCCGAACCAGCTTAAATAGCTAGGCCAAGATCGCGTAGTAACCTTCGGTTAATTGTTTTGCGCAAAGCGAGGACCGTGTACCGGGCCTGGGGTGTTACACTGGGGATGGGATAAGTTCATCATCAAAAGGTTATCTCATCAAAGGCAAGTGTTGCATTGAGGCTGAAGTCGCAATCATTGGCTCTTCCAACACAGAGTACTCTCAGTAATTTGTGAGACCTCATGATTAGTGTTTATCCTCGCTAGAACCAGCTATATTTTACGTTCCCTGTCACCATGGCATTGAGACTCTCTATTGCTTGGAATTAAAGATATCTAAACGTTTCAGCTCTTCAGGCTTCGTTCTATCGAAGACACACCAAGTATACGTGCTTTGACTATTTTGAATGTGATCTAAGTTGCTAATATATGCAAACTGAGATCTTTCTTATTATTTTAGGTTATATTCTGGTAATCTTTCTTGATTGCACAACCATGCAACGAATGATTTTGCAGTTCTTTTTTTTTTTCTTTTTATGTTTTTCTGTCGGGACGTATCAGTCATGCTCTTCTTGTGAACAATACGATCAGCCGTGCCGGTGCATCACCTCGGCGCCGGCCAGCAGCTGCCGCATGATGCGTCCCGCCTCGGCCTCCGGGTACGGCCGTTCCCCGCGGTCTGCCATGCGGAACGCGACGAGCGAGGGGTGGCCCCCGCCGGCCGCCACGAAGCAGGTCTCGCGCAGGACGTCGGCGGCCCAGCTCCTGCGGTGCAGGGACTTGACGGCGACGGCCTGGCCCGTGGCGCGGTGCCGTGCCGTGACGACGATGCCGCACTCACCCTGGCCGAGCGCCCGAGCCTGCGCCCGTCCTATTTGTATCCGCGGGCGTTGGCCATGTGCCGCTTCCGCCCGCAGGCCCTGGGCCTACTCTCAGGCGGCGGCGGCGACGACGACGTCGTCGACCATCGTGGAGATGGCAGCGGCTCGCCAGGCGCTGATCGCCGTGCCTGTGCGGCGGTGTTCTTGGAGATTTTTTTAATTTTAACCCTTTTTTAATATAATTTTAAATCTAACACTGTTGTTTTTTAACTAACACTTTTGGCCACGTCTTTGCTTGGCGCGGCCAAATGTCGTGCTGCCAGCGCCATATCGGTGGCGCGCGGCAGAAGGCTGATGTGGCGGCGGCGACCATCACCGCTGACCGCTGAAGTGGAAAGGCTGCGCCACCACCAATCTTGGCACGACCTGATCCGTGGCGCGGCAGAGCCGAATATAACCACCGCGCCGCCAGTCCCGCTGCCCGAGCAGCAAGGCCGCGTAGGCGTCCCATTGACTTGCAGCTGCAGCACGCAAATCGGAAGAGAGCAATTAGATTTTGGTAGGCAAAAGGAGGACCGGCAGATCAAGAGGGGATCAGGAACACGACATGATCCAAAACGGATGGTGATGGAGGGGCACCAGAGATCCGTACCTTGTCAACTTCGGCGGCTGCGACGACGCGACCTCGTCACTGCTGTACCCGCCGTCGCGTCCTCCGTGGGCGCCGGCGATGCCGGCGCGCCCTTCTCCTCTTCCTCCCCAGCCCGGTGTCTCGGAACTCGGAAGAGTCAAGAATTGGACAATTGGAGAGGTGAGAAGGATGGAAATCGAAGGCGTAGTTGAGATGTTGATGTGCTGCCGTTGGTACAGGAGCGGGTAAGAAAATTTTTCGGTGAATAAAATTCTTCGATGGACGGTGTCGAGCGTGGCAGGAACGCGTAAGATAATCTTACGGACTACAGTAAGATTAATTTACACAATTAGATTTAAAGACCTAGTCATCCGATGGCTCTCATGTAAGGTGGGTAAGAAAATTTTAGGTGAAAAGGTGTTTTCAATTCTTTCGCTACGGACTACAGTTAGATTAATTTACACCATTAGATTTAAAGCCGAGTCATCCGATGGCTCTCATGTAAGGTGGGTAAGAAAATTTTAGGTGAAAAGGTATTTTCAATTCTTTCGCTCTTTTATAGTAATAATATAGATATAGATATAGATAGATAGATAGATATAGAGTATAGATAAAGATAAAAGATTTGGAACTCGGTAACTATATAGTACCGTCCTTTCATCCTCCTCGTCGCCATTGTCATCTAGGGTCTCTTTCTTTCTTCCTCCTCGGTGAGTTTATTGGTCACAAAGAGAGGAAACCTATCTCTGTCTCCAACCATTCTTTAAATCTAATTCTTTAGTTTTAACTAAGATTAATCTGCCAACAAAATTAGATGATTTTTGGTCAAAATCTTGTTACCTGTGATGATTTTAGTGATTGTCACGACGAAGTCGTTGCAGGCGTCGATTTAATCAGCATGCGACCTCTTGAACACTCCCAACGAGAGCAACTCCATGTCATCGATCTCATCATCGATGATCACAAATAGAAAATCAAGAATTGAAAGGTGATTTATATACAACTTATGTTGCATCTGACAGTACAAATGTCGATGCATAGCATCAAATAAGCCATTAATAATAAACTTGCTATCACATAGAGAAAAAAACTTCTCAAAGCCAACTATGTAGGAAAGCATATCAAAGGTTTCATACAAAGAATTTTCTCCAAAAAGACTATCACACCTGATTTTGTTTGACCCTGGATCTCTAACCCTCAAATTTTAATACTTGAATCCCCAAACTTATACCACGGTGTCACTTGAGTCTTCAACTCTTAGATTTCGATTTCTGAGATCCTAAACTTGTACAACCGTGCTGTCTAGGTTCCAAACTTTCACGTCATAGATGACGCGGATGTGGTTATTAATTACGCGGGACATGCAAGTCCTGAAACTTAGATTAGTAGATTATATCATTATATCATTGTACAATTGTACAAGAATTTAGGATCCAAACGTTAAAATTTGAGAGTTAAGGACAGAGTGACACTGCTGTATATATAGGACGTAAATATCAAAATTCTAATCTATATAATCTATTTTAATATATAATAATAATGAGGCAAAATTTCAGCTAATTTTTTTCGTCCACCCATTTTTTTCCGTCTCCGACAATGTAGAGTTTCTTCCGTCCAAACTTATATATATAACATGTGCTCATACGAGTTAGAATAGCTCGCATCTAAACCGATATGGAGTCCGATTCTAAGATTATTGGGTTCCGTTGTAAGACACAGACACGTCTATCTATATACCTATAATATATATAATCTATGTCTAATATTAAAGAGGCAAAAATTTTCTCCACCCTTTTTTTATCTGGCCCTCCCCTAACTAATTCTGAATGTGGAAACTATCTTGTCTGGCGGAACTTCTTGAGATAATCTGAATAGGAATTCTAATCCAAATAGACTATTTGATATTATCTAACATGCAAGGCTTTTTGTCCTGAAAAAGAATCCAAATCTAAATAGAAAAGGATAAAAATACAAATTGGGCAAATAGTCCTGCGTAGCTTGAATAGGAATCCAAATGTAAATAGAAAAGGATAAAAATAGAAATTAGACAAATATAAATTAAACGAAGCCAAACTTTTTTTTTATCATACCTCCACCATGCATGATCCCGCGTTCGTCTTCAGTTTTATTTGCTTTAAAGAAAACGTGCACATGAAAACTACTCGGTTTCACTCTAATCTACAACTGACGCGAGTTCGTATGGTCGTCCTAGACAACAGGTTAATCCAAACAAACTCAACGTAAAACTTATATATGGGTTAAATTAAATTTTTGGCATGTCCATCTGACTACATCTATTTAGAACAGTTGATCATGTTTCGATCTATCCAAAAATAAATTAATCTACTTTATATATTTATATATCATTTATAAAGCATAGATCATTTTATATTGGTATGCCACTTTCTCACATGTTTGTACAAGTTAGATCAGCACATCTAACTAGCTAAACATGATGCGGTGTGAAGTATACAATCTAAAATGAATATGAAGATATAATGTAACCGATAGATAATAAATCTTTAAATCTCTCGTGCTCATGTAAGTTAGAGTACCGAGTTCCAAGATGAATCCTAACTCATGATGTGATTATTAATGGTTCTCTAAACTGAAGTCGTCCAAATGACCATGTAATAATTTGTACACCCCGTTGCAATACACGGACATGTTTGCTAGTAAGAGCAACTCCAAGAGACTCTCTATATCATTTCTAAATACTAGCAAATAAGATTTTGGTTAGAAAATACCTTCCAACAGCTTTTCTAAATGGTTATCTAAGGCCCCGTTTGACAGGGTTTCTCTAGCGGTTTCAGGAGCCGTTTGGAGCCGTTTTCTGCCAAACGGGGTAAAATAAAACAGTTCCACCGATGAAGTCCCTAAAAACGTGCTCTCACATAGCTTTGGGGTGGGAAGAAGCCAAAAATAGTGGCTTCTCTCGGCTTCACCTCATTCTACATGGCGTTCTCTGAGAGCATATTTTAAGAAAAACTATATGTGAAGCTATTTTGCCAAACGATTTATCAAAACGGCTACAGCTCCACCCATAGAGTTGTTCATGGAGCTGAAGCCAAAAAAAGGGTTTTATGGGTGAAGTGGAGCCGTGCCAAACGGGGCCTAAACATAGCCATCTTCTATTTCGGATTTTTCGCTAGCCAAAAATAGAAGACGAGAATAGCTCTCTAGAGTGGTTATGAGATATAGAAAAACTGCTGGAGGATAAAGAGAGATAGGGCCTGTTCGCTGGTTGGTGCTGGTTTTTTTAAGAGGAAAACACTGTTGGCTAACTGGTTTGGACTGACTGAAACCAACAAGCGAACAGGCTGATAGAAAGCTATTTTTATATAAATAGCTCTCTGAATAATAATTTATAGTGTAAGATTTAGAAATACCCTTGGAAATACTCTCAGAGTTAAAAATATAGATGACACCGTCAAATAAGTTTAGCAACCTCCCGTAAACACCGAAACAACCCGTGAATTTTGCACCGAATTTCTGTTTCCTCGAGAGGCATGAGGCATCCCCTCCTCGTGTGCACAAAACCCTCCTCCCTTCGCGCAGCCCCCGGCTTCCCCTCGCCCTTGCGCAGCTCTCTAGAAAACCCCATCTGCACTTCTGCTGGCCCGTAGAAAACCCCACCCGGTGAGGGTTTGCTCGAAGCCTCGGATCTCCGCCGAGAAAGCATCTCGAGGTGAGCTTTGTCTCTCGATCTTCTTGTCGTGCCTCTTCCAGTGTTCCTAATCTCCCGATCCGTAGGAAAACGTGTTCCTTTTTCGTAGCGTGTGTACGGCGCCGGCGATCGTGTGCTGTAAGTGCGCAGGGGAGTGGAAGGAATAGGCCGGAAAACATTTAGAGAATCTTACGGTTGCAGAGTTCCTGGATTTCTCGTGGATTTTAAAGGGGTTTCGGGCTTTGCGGATGCGAGTTGTTAGTTTTCTTGATGAATAGATTGTTCATTAGTAGTGTTCGGGAGCTTCTTTTTGATCTACCTGTTCGTGTAGCGGGGTTTAGCCGTTCTTTGAAATTGAGACCCTTGAGTTGTTGTTTCCTGCTAATATGCAAGATTTCTCCATCTTAACCCCACAGCCTTCGTTATTTCCTTATGGCATGAGGATTGATCTCAATTGCAGAGGATTCCTGGGAAGAGGGAGCGGTTGAGCAATGGGCAACTCTTGCGTCAAAGGTGCTGGTACGGATTTTCTTCTTAAAGTTTACTGCTCAATGCGCTAGACCATTTTGTTAATCATTGTTGTACTAACACGTTATTCAGCATACTTGCTACGGGTCATCACGAGCAACATACACTTCATCTCGCATTTTTTTTTTCTTTCTAGATTTCACTGCTGGTTTTTGCTCTTGTTCTGATCTTTTTTTATTATTGCCCCTCATTGTTTTCAGGCGGATCAAACCCAGGCCTGGACTTGACGTCCAATGCCACACCTCTTCCAGTGGAGCAGACAACCTTCAAGTGGATCATTGATGGCTTTTCCTCCCTTCTGGACAAGGATCAAGGATGGACATACTCCAACGTATTTGAGATCATGGGCGTAAAATGGTATCGTTACTACTGTTGCTATTTTTGTTTCTCTGGTTAAATTGCTTCCTTCTTACAGTCAGAAGTATTCAATGTTTCTTTGAGGGGTAACTATTCCAATGTTGACTTGGTTTGTATATATACAACAACATAGCCTTTCAGTCCGAAGCAAGTTGGGGTAGGCTTTGGTTTGTATATATCCTGCATGAAAAACTGAATGACTTCAGAAGCCTAGCAAATAATGAAATGGCTTCTTTGTACATCTCCCCTAACATGCAAATGGTTTTCATAGGTTTATGTAAGAACTTTCAAAATACAAAACATGGCCAGCAGTCATTCATGTCATGAACAGGATCTCAGTGCTCTGTTTTGACTCATTTGCAGGTATCTGAAATTGAATCCAAAGTACAAAAAGATCATTGGTAAGGAGGAGTATGTCTCTCTCAGGCTTGAACTGCCGCAGGGTTCAGTGAAACTTGACACTATCGTTGAGGCATCTTTCAAGTTCATGATATATGATCAGTCCAATGGAAAGCACAAGAAGCAGCTAGGTAAAGTAGCAAACTATATATTCCTAGTTACACTGTCAGATATAACTTTAATGTTTTTTTTTTCTCTGAGAATTGATTATAGTTGTATACCCATTGGCCCAAATGCTCATTTGTAACTGCTAGCTATAACTTAAAATCTTTAATGCTTGCTTTTTTTTACAAAACCTTCTATTTGGTTTTTTGTCTCCATTTAGTTTTTCTCTGGAAACAATGTGTTCCCATTTTGCTTCAAATTTGTTATGGTAATTAAATACCATTTTCTGAGAAAATATATATGCTTGGATTTTTTATTGTGCAGTTAACCACAGCTTCCAGACTGCAAGTACGAGCTCTGGCATCTCATGCATGTTACCCTTGAAAACACTAAACAAACAGTCCTCTGGATTTCTTGCCAACAACAGTTGCATATTTGGTATTGAGTTCATCAAAGTTGCCACTATCAAAGCCAACACGGCGTTAGAAACACTGTTTGTAAGGAAGATGAACGTCTTCAACGAGGCCAAAGTTTACACTTGGAAAATTGAGGATTTGAAAATTGAGGATTTCTTTGCTCCGAAGAACCGATCCTACTCACCAGAGTTCGAAATCGGTGGATACACATGGTGATAATCTTTTCAGCTTCAATACTTGACATGTATACATGACTGAATGTTGATATCATAATCTGAACTTTCTTACAGTGCTAAGAATGCTTCTATACCAATTGCAGGTCTATCACTATGTATCCATCTTGCGATGGTAACGATGTGTCCTTATTTCTGAAAATGAAGAAGACAAATGATGTCCCCAAAGACTCTGGGAACCTGGTCGAATTTACTTTATCCATCAAAGACCAGGAAAACAGCAAGGACAAGAAATTACCAGGTTCGCATTTTAGCAGAAATTTGCTTGATAGACTGGTTAGTCTGTATGCTAAATTATCATCACACATTCTTAACTTATTTTTATTGGGAAATGCAGGCAGGTGCCAGTTCTCAAACCAATATCCTTGCTGGGGATGGAATAAGTTCATCTCGCTGGAGGATTTCAAGGACACATCAAAGGGTTATCTCATCAAAGGCAAGAGTTGCATTGAGGCCAAAGTCGCAATCAATGGCTCTTCCAAGACAGAGTACTCTCAGTAATTTGTGAGAGCTCATGATTAGTATTTATTCTCGCTAGTACCAACTATATAGCGTGTTCCCTATATATCACCATGACATAGAGACTCTCGTTTGCTTGGAACTATAGATATCTCAACGTATCCGCTCTAAAGGATTCATTCTGTCGAAGACACCAAATATACGTGCTTTGACTATTTTGAATGTGATCTAAGTTGCTAATATATGCAACAACTGAGATCTTATTATTTTAGGTTATTCTGGTAAATCTAGCTTGATTGCAACGAATGATTTCGCCGCTTTTTTTTTTTTTGGGTGTTGCTGTCGAGCCTTATTAGTTATGCTCTTCTAGCAAACAACAAATTCGGCAGGAGCTCTGCGTATGAATTATGATGAAATAATTGTATGTACAGGATGGCCTTTTAATAAGCCCAAACACAACAGCAGCCGTTTTCCATCCTCTTGTTTGTACATAAAAAATGCAGATGTTCCTCAAATGCGGTAAGTTCTGAAGCATCCCAAGGGCTTGGTTGGAGGCTGAGAAAACTTACATGGGCCAAATATAGATGTCAAGCATTGTTCCTTAAAAAATGCGAAAGTTCTAAAGCATTCCAAGGGTGTGTTTGGTTGGAGGCTGAGAAAACTCACCTGGGCAGATATCGATCCCAAGTATCTGATTTTGGATGCCTAGGGCAAGGACTGGCCACCCAAATGCCTGTCAGGCTTCAATCCAAACAACACGTCCTCAAAGCCGATTCACGTCCTTTGAAGGTACTCAACTACAGGAACACACGGAAGATCAGGTGTTTTCAGAAGTGACGGAAAAGAAAATTAGGCTCTTTAATATTAAGGATAGAACTGACGAAACGCTCCTCGTTTGACAAGAGTTTCTAGAAGCGACGGAAAAGAAAATTAGGCTCTTTAATATTAGAGATAGAACTGAGAAAACACTCGTCGCTTGACCTAGAAACGTATGAAAGATTAGGTATTTCTAGAAATGACAGAAGAAGAAAATTAGCCCGGACGCAGGCATCCCTTGGCAGGGTCAAAAAAATGTTCTTGCTTCCCTACAATAAAATCTGATAGGAGCTAACAGAGAAACTTTGCAGGAACAAAGTGAAAGCAATTAACGCCCAATCACTTCAATATTTAAGTTCTAAGTTCTTAATTTACATCTCACTCCACCTGTGTTGACAGGGCGTTTCTTATTGGTGCGCCACAAGCTTTCACAGTCACACCCACATCATGTCACCAGGAAGTACAATAAAACATCACACTCAAACCAACACTCAAACATCACTCATACACCGGAAATCACCACGTTCAGGATATAGTTTACAACGAAACACTCAAAGCAGGGACGACCAACTACAACTGCAGCGGCTCCATCAAAGCAACGACCGCAACCCTCATTCAGACAGGCCTCACAGCTTCACACCAGGAACATGAACCCACTCCAGCTGCACCACAATCAGGCCACTCTCGACCTTCTTCAGCTTCAGAATCAAGTCCTGGACCACCTTGCCATCCTTCCACTGAACATGGCTCTCGCCACCAAGGTAGTTTACACCGACTGGGTAGATTGTCTTGATCCTAGTTCCATCAGTGGCATGCTTCAGATCCAGCTTTGCAGCATCATAGATGTCAGTAATGTTGATCTCAGCAACACCCATGCTGTCATCTGCTGTGAACTTGTCTTCATCAAAAACTTCCTGCGTGATATTAGCAATTCAGAAATCAAGGATCATTTTTCCTGGTTATTGCATAATATATAGTTAGAAACATATGTGGTCAATTTGTTCATATTTGCAGCAATATGAGTGGACCTATGGCAGACATGGTTCCATATCATTCATATTTCTGCCAAGAAGAAATTGTTTTCAGGTTAAAAAATGTTGATTTCATATTTCTAACCATCATATAGTTGTATACTTATATTTCCATAATCTATATCTATATATTTTTCCAATAGCAAACATGATGAACCAATTGAGACAGCAAACTTACAAGGTGCACTGGCTTTGTAGCATTTGTCACTGAGAGCTGCAGTACTTCGTTCCATACTGGATTGGGATTCTTCTTCTGGACACTAGTCTTCACCTTCTGTAACAACAGCAAAAGAAAACTTCCATGACGCAAACATCAAGAACAGGAAGCCATAAATTCAATGGGCATCCATGACGTTTGAACAGAAGTCAACTGGATAAAATACAAAAATAGCTTTCAAAATCCTGCAAAACTCTTTAGTGGCGCATTCTATTATGTATTCAGTTGGCAATAGTGCAATTCAGCAACAGTCGACATAAGTGGTTGACTTGACACCACACAAGCCACAATCATACAGAAACTTAAAACTATATAATTGATATATACATTGAAAATCGTCAGCCTAGGGGTAACGCTAAGAAAAAGCCATGTTAGTAAAATATCTTGAATTGCCCCAGGCAAATAAAACACTAGTAAGTAATTTCAGTACGTAATATACTAATTTGGTCCTGGAATTATTATGCAGATCACAGAGATACTGCTAAAGTACAGGTTCAATTCATATTCTCGTTTCGCAAACTTGTGCAGGATCAGTCCGTAGTTCAGAAGAAATGTTATCAGCAGTTATTATTTCTTATTTCATTCAAGGTGAAGTTGTTACGTGGCGTGGTGCTCTGCCCCTCAGTTCAACATTCCCCAAAGTGCAGTACAGCCCTGTCGGATTCGGAGGGACACAGCTACTGGCTGTTGCATTGGTTAAGCAAGTTCATGAGAAAGCTAGCACTGCAGTTCATTGCCAGGATTTTCATCCCCGTTTCAGTCGTCGTTGAAAAGCAGTACAACATCCCGGCGTCGAGGTCAACGGCTGCTGGTCGGGTAAGCCCATGGAATGGACCACTCGCCATCCAATCCACAGACCAGCGAACGTAGCACGGTAACAGGATCCTAAGATGGGAAGGCAACACGGGCAGATTCGCAGCCCATAGACTGATAGAAGACGACAGAGACAGACGAGCACCTAGGACTAGGAGATCGGGGAAGATCGACAATAATCCCGACATCCGATCCTCCCTCAAGCCGCGGCGCTGACCGTGGACCACGCACGTGTCGTCAACTGCAAACGGGGCCCCGTCGATCACGGGAGATCCAGCCAGGCAATGCTGTGGCCTGTGGGGGAGAAAGGAGCCCAGATGGCAGAGGAAGAGGGAGAAGGCGAGCGGAGCGGGGATGGACATGGACCTGGGCGCCGTACTGGAGGACGACGTAGGGGTCGCTGGTGTGGGTGAGCGGGTCGGCGATGGCCAGGTTGTTGCCCCGCACCACGCGGACGTTGAGCTTCCCGATCACCTCCTCCTTGGACGCCGACGCCATTGTGCGGGTGTCAGGTGTGGGTTTGGTGGGAGCGAGCGAGCTGTGGATTGGTGGGGACAAGACAAGCCGAGACGGAGGCCCCGACAGACACGAGGCCAGGAGAGGAGGGAGGGGGGAGGAGTGGTCTGCTCTGCTCACAAGTCACAACTCACCGGTGGATGCGGCCAACGGCTGGCGGCCGGCGCCGGGTTTTATAGGCGGCGCGGCCTGCCTCGTGGATAATTTTGCAACCAATAATTGTGCGATTTCTTTTGATGACAAGAGAAAGCTGGAAGCTAAGAAATAGATATGCACCAAGACAAATTCTTAGAAAAGTATATTAAATTTGTATACCATATGGAAATAAAATTGAAGTTCAAAACATACAACTGTTTTTTTGCCCCTTTAACTTGAGAGACATGCATACACCCATATACTCACACCAATGAATGTCTGAGAAACTGAACCGGTAGATCTTGAGATTGATGAAGTAGCATCATGAGTCTAGTTGCACACCGTTCACCACTTCATAAATAAATAGCCATTTGTGTTCCTTCATCGCTCAATTGTCAACCATGTAATAGATCTTAGCATGTGAGCTTTGGTGTAGTTGGTTGGGGGCAATCAGTTTGGCTTGTCACTCACATGACAAACTGTACTTGTCACCGTTCCCCTTAATAAATACGGGCACAATTGCACGTTCGCGAAAAAAATGGATGGGACAGGTTCTGGTTCCGCCATAGAAAACCTAGCCAACTTAGTTATACCTAGTTTGTTTTTCTTCAACTTACAAAGATTGGTTTCCATCCCAACTGTTGTAAGAAAACAATGATCATCTTCCTTTCATTCACTTTGGAGTATTTTTTTTAAAGTCCATGCTTTGTAAGAGCCTGTTTGGCAGACCTCTAAGAGCAGCTTCTAGTCTGAATAAGGAGGACCTCTACAAAACAGTGTTTTACAACTAGAAAGTTCAGAGCTGAAAAAGGGTAACCTTTCCTAACTCATCCCACACATTTTATGTATAGTTTATCTTAGAGAATCTAACAAAACTATTTTAAGTTAGAAAAACACTTATTAGAGAACCACTTCTCATAGAGAATTAGAAAAGGAAGAGCTCTACCAAACAGGTTCTAAAATGGCCTCACAATTTTACCTGCCTTTAACAAGAGAACATAACATGCAGACACACAAAAAAGGAAATGCAAGAATTTGGTTGCAATCTAATCTAAAGTAGAGGACACCAAAGACCCTTCTACCACAAACAAATGAAAAAAAATAGGGATCTCTTGATATTGTTTTGACGTGCCCATGCAAGATATAAGCATCTACGAATTCTGTATCGAGTTAGCGACCACGCCCCCATTCAGGTCCTAGTTATCCATTAACTGCTAATAGTTAGTTAGTTGGTTAATAGCTCATAGCTAATAGTAGCTAGCTAGCTACTATTACTCCCTCCATCCTAAATTATAAGTCATTCTAACTTTTTTAACGAGTCGAATCATCTTAAGTTTGACAAAAATTATAGAGAAAAATACAAATATTTATAAAATCAAATAGGTATACTATAAAAATATAATTAATGAAAGATTTAATGATACTTATTTGGTATTATAAATGTTATTATTTTGTTATATAAGTTTGATTAAACTTGAGATGCTTTGACTCTCAAGAAAGTTGAAATGACTTATAATTTGGGACGAATGGAGTAACTGCTATTAGCCGATTTGGTCCAATTAGTGAAATAATTGTTAGTTAGATTATTAGCTAAATCTCTTTAAATCTAAATTGAACTAATTACTAGCAGCTAACTATTAGCCTGTTAGCTCTATGGATCTAACCGGCCTAGATAACCTCACAACATAGCTAGGGGACTAGAATTAGGGTCCCATCAAGCCCTCCTTTTCCTTTTTAGCACATATTATATTATATATATGGAAGCCGAGCCAAATGTGTAGACACGAAGGACCTGTTTGGCAGGGCTTCGGCTCATTAAAAACAGCTCCGGCTCTGGCTCCTCCGTAGAAGTGGTTTCTGAAGGAGCTGAAGCCGTTCTGAAAAACGTTTGGCAAAACGGTTCCTCCTATTTTTCTAGAATAGTTGAATGATGGTAAATATCTATAATACCCCTATTTATTATTTTACTATGGTGCAGATGTAGTAAAACCCAAACTAGAAAAATTGGTTTTACTATTTTTTTGATATTTGTATGATTTATTACATATTTTACAAGCATCAGTTGATTTGGTCCATTTCAGCAGGAAGCTAATAGTTGTTTTTCCATTGGAACCCTGGTCTATTTCTAAATTATTGGTGCTATTCTTTATTTTCTTTCTCTCTTGTATTTTTGCATTGGGAACCCTATCTTTTCTCCAATTCTTGCTAGCAAGTCCTCCTCTTTCTCTACGTACAGGAAAACGGACTGGTCTCGCTGTGACGGAGCGGAGGACCACCGCGTCCTTTTGCACCCTGACGGAGGAGGAGCCCGGAGAAGCTCGGTTTTGTGGCTCCACCTGCCACTGCATAAAAGGGCTCCAGCTCTTCCGGTGCTCCGCCGGAGGAGCCTTTGTGCAAATCACCGTTTGGCACAGCTCCTGCAAGAGCCGGAGCAGGAGCCCTGCCAAAGAGGCACGAAGACCGAAGAGAGTAATAAGTAATGACGTGTTCCTCCCTCTCGCGCACGTAGTCGGAGCATGATCCGGATGCTGGAAGGCACAAAGTTGTAATCCAAGGGTTGGTGAAGGCGTTCTGAATTCTGAAACAGACAAGCAGATAGAGCCATCATAGAGGTTGGTGTGAAGGCAAAAGAAAATACCATGCTAAAGTGAACCAATCAACCAAATTTGAACGTCTTCACCTTTGTGATCCGTATATTGTGATGCTGGATATCTGCCATGTGAATTATGTGGGTGCATGTAGTGCCTGTTTAGTTCCCAAAATTTTACAAATTTTTTCAAGATTTCTCGTCACATCGAATCTTTGGACACATGCATGAAGCATTAAATATAAATAAAAAATAAAATAAATTACACAGTTTAGACGAAATTCACGAGACGAATCTTTTAAGCCTAATTAGACTATGATTGGACACTAATTGTTAAATAACAATGAAAGTGCTACCGTACCGTTTCCCAAATAATTTTGCCAAAAATAAGGCCGTAGTGTTGGTTGAGCTTTGTCGCCGGGACTGGAGGCCACCTCACCCGCCCTGCCACCTGTCACCCGCGACCTCACTCCTCCCGGCTCAGATCCTGACCTTGCAACCGCTGGCAATACATTATTCCGGCCGTCCGATCGGCGCCACTGCCGAACGAACACGTACAGCGCCGGCGACATCGTCCTCGCCGGTTTTCAGTTACGGGCAGCGTATTCTTTGCGGCCTTGCGCAGCTCGTGTGCGTGCCGTCCCCATCCGTGGACTCCGAGGCTAAGTTTTATGGTCGTCGCCGGCGTCATCAGATGTGAACATGCATGACAGAACTGCTCTCCTACTATTACTACTACTACTATCAGTCACCGTGACAAAAATTCCATCTCTCTACGTTCTTCAAATTCTTCAAGCATTTTTTTTGTTTTTGTTTTTGTATTTGGTGGAGATTCACATATGACAAATCAAGTGCCTTACTCCCTCCGTCCCATTGGGACTGTCTTTTTTTTTTTACTTTTAGACTTCATATTTGGCCGTTTGTCTTATTCAAAAATTTTATGTAAATAATAAAATAAATAAATCATTATTAAAGTATCTTTAATGATAAAATAAGTCATAACAAAATAAATATTATTTGCATAAATTTTTTGAATAAGACGAACGGTTAAACAAGAAGTCTAAAAATAAAAAAATGATATTTTCAGTGGAACATCGGTTAGATGGACCTATATTATTATATATATGATGGGTGTGAACTCTGCAGACGGCCTCGTTGTCGTTGGTAATTAATTGGTATAGATATATAATGAGCATGCATCACATGGTACATAACCACACTGTCGCTGGATGGAGCCCGGTATTAACTGGGTCATTTTAGACCAGCTGGCTTTCTCTCCCTATCATATGCTACACTGGTTAGCAAATCAGAAACCTCGTCGTGCACACCCTCTTATCTCTCTTTCTGAACGAACATGTCGTACCGTCTTGATTGAATCATTGATTGCATAAACTATTTTCGAAGTCAAGTCTTGTACCGGACGATAATGGTCTCTGCATCAAGGTACACCCCTATGGGATAATAATATAAGTCACGCTAGCATTGTGATCGCCTTTTTCTTCTTCTTTTTATTTACGATTACAAGGTGACATAAGCATGCACGCGTCATTACACCTACGCTCGTGTACCACATTCACACGTCCAGACTCCAGAGCGTGTCCATGTCATGTGCCTACAACTAATGTACGTTGAGATTAAAGCACTTGTATGTGTGCACATCGTAAGCGCTATACTGAAGTAACCGAGGGCCTGTTTAGATTTTATGGGCTAAATTTTAGTCCTTCTTTTTTTTTTTTGCCTACTTTTAGTCTTTAGGGATCCAAACAGTTAGGCTAAAAAGAGAGGGAAAATGACCACATTACCTTCCACAACTTTTGCAAAAGTCTGTTTTTTCCTCCCTGAACTCTAAAACCAGGTAAATCACCTCTCTGAACTTTTAAAACCGTTCGTTTTACCTCCCTGACTGGTTATAAGCGGTTTTCAAATACGGTTTTGTCTTTTTCTTTTTTATTTATTTCGGTTGAATCTTTGAAAAAAATCATAATAAATCATATAAAAATAAAAAAAATAGAAAATCCAATTATGTTGGACTCCACGTGAGTAGATCTACACAGTGAACATATAATATGGTATAATTTAGTACACATTTTTTGTTGTAGCTTTAGATCTATACTTTTCTGTAATTAATTCATAGCTGCAGTTTATATGGTCCAATTGTGGTGAAATTTTTATGTTGGGCTAATTATTATATGCTTGAACTTTAGTAAAAATTTTATACTCTTTGTTTCAAGGGCTCTTGCACTTACTGCACCGACAAATC